CCTGCTGAATTGTGTAATGGAGCTTCAAACGGCGAGGCCTCCACTGAGAGCGAAGCATTGATCCACAAAGTTGCAGCAGCTGTGAGTTGAAAAAGTTCCCCTCTTGTCTTCCATCTTATTGACATTCTTTTATAGGAACTTGGCTTGGCTAACCTCTTTAAGTTATCTCCTAATCGTTGTCTGGTTTCGGATATTACCCTCGATGATTTTTATGCGGCGCACATATATATTCACTGTCTGAAGAGTCTAATCGAAAATTGCCTCATAAGCGTGGGATTTCAGCAAGTATGATATTCATTTTGCAGCAGTCTGGCTTCCATGAGTGTGTTTTTTTTTCTGTCGAATACACGTTGCTAAGTCGGTAATGATCATCTGCGGTGGGAATTTTGTATTTTTCCTTGTGCGTGGACGGGACCTCCTAGTTCCTAGAATGCTTAATGAACTGCATGAACTTATGAATATATATGCAGAGAGAAAAACAGCAAGTATCTGGCGCAGATACCTCTGTCAGATTCGAGCAAGGGGCGGCAGAATGTGAGTGATCTGCCAAACTAAATGGTCTTTCTAGATGGATATTACTTATGCACCACGATTTCCAGCAAAAGAATCTGATTCCATGAAACGGTCCTGGACATAGCAGCAACTTTGGTGAAAGAATCAGAGGCCAAAGCTCAAGGAAAAATATCCCTGAAGATAACACTTCAGACAAGGAGGAATCAGGAGGGCCCGGCAAATGGTTCATCTCGAGTGAAGGTAAAAAAAAAATGAGTTTATCTGTTTGTGTACATCATCGTTGTTTGATTTTTCAGCAGTTCATACTTAGCTTTGTTATTAGCAGAAGTTAGTTAGCCAACGCTTGTAATTCTACGGCTGGTGGTTTTATCCCGTTCTAACTTATGCAGGAGACTGAGGAGAAAAACAGCAACATCAGTCTCAAGAGGAAAAGAGGCCGACCACATATGTACATGAGCCCAGAGTCTCGTCAGGCTGATGGTATGTGTTGAATTTCGCGAAACAAAATGGCTGCTCAGAATATCATCTATGGCTGGATGATCAAATTGCATGAAGTTTTTTTTCCCGTGGAAATTTGATCGTTGTTGGGTTAACTTGTAGATCGAAATGCGTCTGGTCAAAAGGCTGGTGGAACTTCCTGTGATCAAAAGGCCACGACTAAAGATACCCGTAATTTCCCTGATGAAGATCAGCCTCTCAGTACATGGATCGGAGCGAATTTGTCATCTGCTGAGGAGGAATTAAGTAAGTCACCTATATTGAGATTCCAATGTATTAATATATCTCTGAGAATATGGTCCCTTTCCAATCATTGTTTTTATGCGGTTCAGGGCTATCTCCCACCAGCACTCTCAATGAAGTGAACAACTCTCCGGGAGAGAAAGAGATTGACGTTGTTAAAACCCCGACGCAAGATTCATCCATCGTTTGGCCTTTTGTGAAGAGATCGCCGATTTGGGAAACTGTCGAGTCAATGGAAGCCTTCAAATCAGTACCTCAAAGACCACATTTCAGCCCGTTGCTCGAAACCAGAGAGGAGTACCGTGAAGGGTCAGCCATTGGAATGATGGTCACATTCTCTGGGCTGATCGAGAAGGTCAACAATCTGCTATTGGATGACCCGAGAAGCACTCTAGAGGGCGTCAAGGAATGCCTTATCGATGTCCAGAAACACGGGTTTGATGCTATATCGCCGCTATGCAGAGTTAACGAGCTGCTGTGCATCAAAGACCAGCAGATGCAGACGCTGGACCGAATAAAAAACGTCAAGAGAGAGATTGAGGAGCAGCAGAAGAAAAGCCACAAGTGCAAAGAAGACGTGGAAGGAATCACAAACAAGATTCTTGAACTGCAGGGCCAGCAGGCCGCCATGATGAAGCTGATGGAATCAATGGTGACAGAGACAGCTCGGCTTCAGTCCGAAGCTGCAAGTCTTGACCAGACAATCCAGAATATAGAACACGAGTTCCAGAAAACCATCACGGCTCCTTGGAACTCACCACTCTCAGGTAAAAACATATAACTTGATGATATATAGATATGGTCTGGAAATGAAACTAACTGCCTGTTACCTTATGGTATGACTACTGAGCCTTTTGGTAGCTAATTATGCAATGTTTGTTCATATAATTAATCATTGCTAAGTACCTAGAAGTTAGAACCAGAATTTGTAGCTATTCCACTGCTGCAAACTTGTTTAGTCTTTTTTTTTTTTGTGGGTATTAATCTGATGGAGTTTAGGTGTTATGGGTTATTTTATAAAATATTATTTATGTTATATAAAAAATATGATATTCAGATGATGAATATGAGATCACATTGGATCACGATTTTTGTTCAAACAAGTTGATTATGGTCCCAAAAGAAAAGAAAAATAATAGTCCACTCGTTATAATTAATAGATGGTCCTCGATGGTACATATGCAAATGTGTTTGCATTTATATTTAGCCATAACGCGTGCAATTGACATATTATGCTTTTTGGAAAAAGAAAAAGGAAAGTCATTTTTAAATCCAATCCTTTATGCACCAATAAAATATTTATTACCCTTTTTTTTTTGGCATAAATGGTTAAATTTCATGTGAGATTTCAACCAAGATCTTGATTTTCAAATGGTTTCCGTTAACTCATTAATTATTCAGAATTCAAAACAAACCTAAAAAAGATCCACAAATTTTCAATAACATTTTTAAAATATCCACTTGAAAACTCGGCACTCAACAAATCCAACTAAAACAATTTTCTTATCAAATATATAAAACTATAAGTTTATGAACTATCTATTTTCAACTCTAACTTAAAATAAGTAATTATTATAAATATAATGATATTATTAAAATACAACTAATGAAGGAAATTAGGACACTAATCAACCGAGTGATCCATTAGTAACTGTAATGGGATTTGAAATGGGATTTGTTTTTGTTAGATTTTGATTGAGGACTTTGTCAGCCTAGTTGGAGACTCCGACCGATCTAGAACTCTCTGTCGTGTCGGTCCACGTCTTATTTTTGTTTTCATGTTTGTATTAAATATATGCAAGTACAAGTTTTCATTACAATCTAGATTTGGAACATTACTCGTAGCTGCGGAAACACTACTATTGTTGAATTCGATTAAACATTATATATTTATTAAATTTCGTTATACAGGCGCCCATCATACGTAATGTCTTTGTCTTGTCCTAGTTTTATTTCTTCGAAAGAAAAAAATCATTTCTTGAGTCTAAAAATAATTTGTTTTTGTTTTTTGGTATTATTTCTTCGTTGTCGACATGAAAACTTATAACCATATTGACATATTTAACCGTTTTTAAAATATGCAGTATATATAAAATATCTATAAAAAAGTTAATAAAATATGTCTTCTATTAGTAAATTTTACTATTCTTTATTTTTTAAAATCTATCTATAACAATTTAATTTATAATTATCTGAAATATATCTTTTTCGATAAAATAAACTATATAATTATTCAAAAATTGATCATCAAAATGATTACGCAAAAATATTTTCACAAATTTATCATTAAAAATCTGTCTTTAATATATTTTTTTAACATCAAAATACTAAAATAAATCATGTAAATTAATTTGTTGAGAGAGAGATCTAAACTAATATTGTGATATATTATTGATTGAAATTTTACTATATTGATGCAAAGTTTTTTTGTCTTAGAAAAAAGTTTTTTTTTGAAATATTTGTCAATTGGTTTTTCTATAAATCAAATATATGAATATATATATATATATAAACAAATTTATAAATATGATCAAAATATAGAAATTGATGAATAAACAAAAAATATTAGATTTGTGTTTTTTTTAGAGAATTGAAAGAGAAAATAAAAAAATAGATAGAAAATAAGACTAAAAAGGGACATTTTAAAACCTAATATTTAGAGAAACAAGAAATTAGAAAAAGAAAAAAAGAATGGGAGGGGACCTAAGAAAAAATTTAAAGGGGGCCTTCAACCTTTTTTATCAAAATTTTATAACAATTATAAGTAAATTAATTTTTTTTCCCTAAATATATGGGGGCATGGGACCCCACTCCCATACATGTGGGTCCGCCCATGGATACCTATGACTATTGTTTGGGCATCCAGTAATTAATGTGTATATATACACATATATATTCAATTATTAGCATGTAATTTTTTAATGTTTATTGACCTTTTTATTACCAGTGAACAAGAAAAAGTAATTTGTTACAAATTAAAGAGGTTAGTAAATGGAGCTTTATCTTAAAATTGAAAACTAAAATTTTACCGAGAGTAACCCGAGAATAACCCTACACAAAGTATTACACAAACTGCAAGATATTTTTATTTTAAGATGAAAAATGGGTTTTGGCATTAATGTTTACGAAGATATTCAAACGCAATGGACCGACTTCAGTTTCATTATTTGAAATTTTCCGAAGACTTCTTCCCTCGACGTTTTGCAGATGGCCGTACCAATTAAATGAAGCTCAAATGCTTTTGTTTATCAAAACAGAATAAAAAGTTGGAAAACCAAAACTATATAAATACGTATTTTGAATAAAAAAATATTAATTAGTTAATGGTTGGTTGTTAAATCAAAGGTGTTAATAAATGGTCAAGCGTTACAATTTGTTCCGACGTCGGTCCATCCTAGCTGTTAGATGTCCTCTCCCCCTCATGTTCTATCAGATTTATTTATGTATTTTCAATTTTGAAAAACTATTTTATATATTAGTGTACGCTCAAGTGATGCGTGCATGTGCATGCATCCACTAAATTACTTAATGGGCGATAAAACCGATAAACTTTCTTGTTAATCCATAATATAGATATAAAATGGGTCGCAACCGTATAATATAAAATATATGAAATGCGATAACCCATAACGTATTCATTAAATCACGTGTAAGAATATGTAAATCTATAAGAGTGAACCAAAATAATATTCAGTTTATAGGATTCCTCCTTTCTAACTTGTTGGTCCGTTATTAATCATCCAAGTCCAATCATATCAATACGATATTTAATTAAAGTAATTTATTCAAAGCTAAAATATCTAATATAAGTAGTTAATCGTCACATCGACTCTAATTGCTGGTAATTAAATTAAATAATTAATAATATAGTTCCAAACCAAGAAACTGTGGATCCATTATTTATGATAGATACGGACCGGGAGGACCTATAAACCGGAAAAGTCAACTTACCATCCAAAGTCCTCTGTCTACAATAATACAATTCAAACACGACCGGCTTTGAAAATATAACATTTGATTCTCACGTCGATGACGAAATGCACACATAAAATTAGGGTTTTTTTTAATACGATTTAAATTTTATATTTTAAGATATAGTTTTCATAACATTTACAGTAAATGTAATGTAATGAAGAAGTATGGGTCAACAACGATATAGAAGGTCAACGATGAAAATTTATCGGACCGAGAAAGTGGCTGAAGGGTGGGGTTAACTGTCGGAGTTTTTTGGACTCAGGGGTTTGGTATTTTAATATTATATTTTATATTTATAAATACTGTAATATTTTAATTTTACGTTGAGTAATGTTAATTTTTCAAGATTTTTTACCCAAATCATAATAGATGAACAAAATCGATCTTATATTGAAATCTTAGCTACGATCATAATCAATATGAGCTTAATTGTGAAAATAACAAAATAAACAAACAATAGTTGCGACGATGGTAAATGAACAATAGCATAGGAAACAACTTTATGATTTCACGGACAAGATGTTATCTATTCTTGGAAAGTCTTCTGGGTTAGGAAACTTGACAGAAAAGCTTTCGTATGCAATAAAACCCCTCGTTCACGAAAAAGGAACGATGTACAGCTCGTTAAATCAGCAAAATAAAATAAAAAATTGAAATAATAGAAACATATAACACACGGAATACTATAACAACAAATTTTTTAAAAATATAATATACATATAACGAAAAAAATAATATCAGATAGCATGAAAGGGTATCGGGGATGGATGTGGAGAGAATAATCAAACGAGGGAGGAGAGGGGGGGCATTTATTGAAAGCAAGTGAGGGTGAAATAGTTGGTAACGTCAGGGTTTAGAAACCATACGAATACGGAAAACGCACCGCTGGGGATGGTGTATCAACCGTCTCCTCCTCTTTTATAAACCCACCAACCTATTTTCTCTTTTCCCTTCACCTCAATCTCTTCTCCTCATGCATGGAAATCTCTCTCTCTCTCTCTCTCTCTCTCTCTCTCTCTCTCTCTGTAAAAGATCTGCTCTTCATCATCTTCTGACCGACGAGGTATAATCCGACCAATCGGAGACGAACGGACGATCTTAGCACGCCCACGTACGTTAGCCGGCTGATCAAAGGTTGGTCTCTAATTCGTATGTACGTGTGAACCTTTGATGATCTTAATTTGCCAAATACATACGGAAGTCGTATCAGTATTTTTTTTTTCTGGGAAAGAATAAATTATGAAATGTCGAAAAATGGGTTCCATTTCAGATCCTCTATTCGCGCCTCTCGTTGTAGCCTTACAGCAGTCACGGTAATCTCCTCCATCCTTTCAGAAGTAAATGTCGTTTCAGAGAACCATAATTCCCATTTATTATTATTATTATTATTATTATTATTATTATTTATATGAAATATATATGTATATATATATATTTATATATATGTCTATTATTTTCAAAAAAAAAAAATCGCTGGTTAGGGTGTTTGAAATAGGAGAAACAGAGTGGATACGAGTTTCTTTGAATTGGCATGCTTTATAAAGTAATTAAGCCAAAGGAGTGAAACCCGCGGAACTATCACCATCAATCATCATGCATGCATGTTTAGGATATGATATGTTCTCATATGAGCTGATTATCAGATTGTTAATTAGTTTTCCTAATATAATTTCTACTTAAACTTATTTTCTAAACGAATATATATATATATATATATATATATATAGAGAGAGAGAGAGAGAGGCAAACAATGACAAAAATAGGTTTTAATATATTCAACCCGTTGTTCCCATGGATATATATACATATATATATATTTTATAAACTCCATGGATATATATATTCTAGATGACGCGATGCAAACTTTTGGATACAAGTAAGATTAAATATAATCTACCAAATTAGTTAGATTAATAGAATTGTGAAAATTAAGGTCGTGAACTCCAATCAATTCACTGTATAATAAATGTACTGTGTGGTAAGTACTCGCGATGACGCTCACATTAAATACAATTTTTTGGGTCGTTATTGTATTTTTTCTTCAAAAAAATTATTTATTCGTTAGTAATATAAATTCTCGGGCGATGATATTGATAGAAACTACTGTTGGGAGGTTAAAAGCATTAAATTAAGGAGTAAATTCCGGATAGGTACATACATTGAGCTCAACTGTCCTTTTGGAAGAATCATTGATGGCCCATTATTATAAAATCATATAACGAAATAAAAATATACTACAGACAGACTTAGGGTGGTGATAACGACGAATAAGCCTTTTGTATTTAGCGTACGGTTTGGTCGTCGTCACATGCAAAGCATCGTGTGCCTGATTTTGTCTTCATTACAGGGAAAAGATATGAAGGTGTTCGCGGCTAAGGTTGAAGAGGGCATCAGAGGGGAAGAAGGGAAGCCGTCGGTGGGTCCCATCTACCGGAATCTTCTCTCTGAGAATGGCTTCCCTCCTCTTGATCCCAACATCTCCACTGCTTGGGACATCTTCAGGTTCTTGATTTATTGATTAAATCCAGATATCTCATATGATATATATATATATATATATATATATGTACCCTTTTGGACCGACTAGTGCGTCATCCATTTTCCCGCCATGGTTTAGTCTCTCTTTTAGGATCATACCTTATATCTATGTCGAGACTCCGATATGTGAAAACTGATTCTCCATGTGAATTGTTTGAATTACGTAATTAAGGAATTTCCACCGTCTTTAGAGTAATTAATCGTCCATCTCTCTGCCATTGTTGGGGGTATATATATATATATATGTATGATGTGGGTTAACTTGTGTAAATGAATGCGAGTGATGGTTATTTTGCAGCAATTCGGCGAAAGAGTATCCCGGGAACAAGATGCTCGGATGGCGTCGAGTTGTCGATGGAAAGGTATTCATTACTATCATATTATATATATAATCCAAATTCGATTATTAAAGTTGTGTGAATTATATAAATACATTCTCCTAACCATTTTTAGTCGTCGTCTGATCGGTCAGGTTGGACCGTACGTCTGGAAAACATACAAGGAGGCATACGAGGAGGTTCTACGGATCGGTTCTGCTTTACGAGCTGCAGGAGCTGAACCTGTAAATCAAACTTATTATTATTATTATTACCCTTTCTCGTACTAATAATTAATAGCGTGGTTATATATGTATGTATGCATAGGGAAGCAGGGTGGGAATCTATGGAGTGAACTGTCCGCAGTGGATCATAGCCATGGAGGTATAACCGCATTTCACATTTTTATTACGAAGGAAATCATTCGGTCCAAAGCTAACCACGTTTTCGCAATAGGCATGTGCCGCTCACAGCTTAATCTGCGTGCCTCTCTATGATACATTAGGTAAATGCTTCCTTCCCCATCTATATGTGTATCATTTGAATCCATGAATATCACATCACATCACATGCATACATGGTTTTCATATAAAAAAATGAACGTATCTTGGTTATATGGTATTTGGTTACCGACAAGTTAAAGAAATGCAGGTCCCGGAGCCGTAGATTACATCGTCAACCATGCGGATATCGATGTCGTGTTTGTCCAAGACAAGAAGATTCAGGGAGTAAGACTCCGAATATCCGTTGTATATATATACACAGTTGGTTTCTTTATCTATCCAATAAATTAATATATAAATATAATTGGAGGAATAATGAGAAATAGCGAATAAATGAAAAAGCAGCTTCTGAGTCCAGAATGCAAGTCGGTGAAACGGCTAAAGGCAATAGTTTCCTTCACGGATGTGTCGGCGGAACAAAGCCACAAGGCTTCCCACACCGGTCTCAAAGCATACTCGTGGGACGACTTCCTCCTCTTGGTATCGTCTTTACTCTTTTTTTCTTTTATGAACTTCATTATATATATATATATATATATTTAGCGATACGGACATGTGGACCGTACGTGTTGAGGAAGCATAAGATATATAAAACCATTTCATTATTTGGATGAAAAGAAATCAAAACCGAATGAGGAGCGAATGAGATATCGTTGCACATGGACATCATCATGGACCAGTTTTCTAAGTTAAGCAAAAAGTTTAATATTACATATAATACTTGAAGATACGCTAAGGTCAAACACTTGCTCGTTGACTTTTTCTATTTGTTTGGTCATAGAACGCGCGTTTGCCTCCTAATTTCTCAAGATTGAAACGCTTTGTTTTCGCTTTGGTTAATCCATGTAGCACATGACACATACACACTTTTGAGCGGTCCATTTATAAACTGAAGACACAGAAACCACTTGGACTACCATATGAAATTATATTTTGATTTTTAAAATACAAAACTTACTTTAAAAAAATATTACAATGGGGAGATATATCGTTTTATTTGTTTTTATTCTCTTGTTTTATAAAAAAAAAAGGGAAGAGAAAGACCGGAAGAGATAAGGCCACCGGAGCCGTGCAACGTATGCACGATAATGTACACGAGCGGGACGAGTGGTGAACCTAAAGGCGTGGTTCTAACCCATGAAGCCGTCGCTGTCTTCGTTCGAGGCGTCGATCTCTTCATGGACCAATTCGATGACAAGGTTATATACAAATATAATATATATCGCCCTCCCTAACCCGGAAAAAAAAAACATTTTTTAATCAAGAACAAAGGTCTCTAAATCCGTTCTTGCTTGCATGGGACGAACTCCGACGTTAGATGACAACCGACGACGTGTATCTGTCGTTTCTGCCATTGGCTCATATATTGGACCGCATGAACGAGGAGTACTTCTTCCGGAAAGGTGCTGCCATCGGCTACTACCACGGGGTACACATATTCCATCTCTACTCTTTTCTTTGTTTCTTGAGCGCTGATAAATCCTGCTAAATGGGTGTGACAAAAGTGCGGTTCTCGATTTATGCCATATTCGATCTTGTTACTGTTAAAACACGATTTGAGATCATTGAATATATAGATGAAATCTTGATGAGAGAGAGAAAGAATGGTGTTGTAGGATCTGAACGCTCTAAGGGATGACATTCAAGAACTAAAGCCGACATATATAGCTGGAGTTCCAAGGGTGTTCGAGAGAATCCACGAAGGCATTCAAAAGGCTGTCCAAGAACTCAACCCCAGAAGGAGATTCATCTTCAACTCTCTCTACAAATAGTAATTTTTCCACTTCTATCTCTGTGTTTTTTTTTTCTTACATGATTTCCTGTTGAGACAAGACAAGAACCAAGGACGTCTGATGTCGATGAATGATTGATTCAGCAAGCTCAAATGGATGAATCGGGGGTATAGTCAGAAAAATGCCTCTCCCATGGCTGATCTGATAGCTTTCAGAAAGGTCCAAAACAGTAAACCAGCGATGAATTTTTTCCATGTTTTCAGAGTTTGATCATAATTAAGCAATCGCTTCGTCGGTTTCTTGAATCAAAGGTTAAAGACAGATTGGGAGGTAGGATCCGGTTGCTGGTGTCCGGAGGAGCACCGTTAAGCCCTGAGATCGAAGAGTTCTTGAGAGTTACTTGCTGTTGCTTCGTCACACAAGGCTACGGTACTGTTTTCTGAAAACCAAACCCTAAAAACGAATGTCTATCTCAGATTTCGTAACATGCAAGAAACTGATGCAAGTTGTACGGTCACATAGGTCTGACAGAGACGCTGGGAGGGACGGCGGTGGGGCATCCAGACGAGATGTGTATGCTCGGAACGGTTGGAGTTCCGTCAGTCTACAATGAGTTACGGCTGGAAGAGGTCCCGGAGATGGGCTACGACCCTCTCGGTGACAATCCCTCCGGCGAGATCTGCATCCGTGGCAAGTGTCTTTTTACTGGCTATTACAAGAACCCTGAACTCACCAGAGAAGTCATGAAAGATGGATGGTTCCACACAGGTGATCCATAATACACATATATGTAATCACACGATATGATCAGTAAAATGACTGTTTGGATTCTGATTCTGATTTGTGTTATTACTTTTCGGGGGATTTGATCAGGGGATATAGGGCAGATTCTTCCAAACGGAGTTCTCAAGGTTATCGACAGGAAGAAGAATCTGATCAAACTCTCGCAAGGAGAGTACGTGGCCCTCGAACACTTGGAGAATGTGTTCGGGCAAAACCCAGTCGTCGAAGATGTAAGTTTCGTGTGTCGCAAGTAACGGCTTCTTCCCTTAGATCTGCGATCGGTCTTCTGTATAATATGCTGCCAATCATCTGCCTAATCTTTCGCCTTTTCAATTTTCAGATATGGGTATATGGAGACAGCTTCAAATCGAAGCTTGTAGCGGTGGTTGTCCCGAACCCAGAAAGCGTGGAACTGTGGGCGAAGGCTAACGGACTATCAAAAGGTTTCGACGAACTGTGTTCTCTGCCCGAGCTCCGACAGCACATTCTGTCCGAACTGAAATCCACGGCCGAGAAGAACATGGTATACGAAATCTGCATATACAGCTTTCATTTCTTTTGGATTTTATGAAATCTTAAATACGGGTCGTGCGTGTGGCTGAGGAAACAGCTGAGGGGCTTTGAGCATATAAAGGCGGTGGCCGTGGAGGCTATACTTTTTGACGTGGAGAGAGACTTGGTGACGGCTACGCTGAAAAAACGAAGGAACTATCTTCTCAATTATTATCAGGTTTGCAATAATTCTCTATTTATTATATGGTCTGTGTCCGATGAATGGTTATTATATGTCTATCTGAATATTTTTTTAATATAGATTTCATATCTATAACTATATGATAAAACTTCAATGTCGCAGGCGAAAATTGATGAAATGTACCGAGAATTGGCCGCCGCAACACGTTGAAGGTGCAGAGTTTGATCATAATTATTTTAAATTTTAAATTTTAAATTAAATTTTTTTTTATGGCGTGTAGGTTTCATTAAGCGAGTTATAAATAAACATGAACGATTCATTTACTTTTCCAAATCTTGTCGTCAATTAAAGCGCACACGACTATAAATCTTGTCGTCAATTAAAACACATACGACGACGTATTGAGAGTGAGCCTTTTAATCAATGTAAACAAGTACAAGATGATGACTCCGGCGGGCCAAGGCGAATAGAAGCACATCAGATGCGTATTTTAGACACGAGCCTTACTATTCTACGCCGACATCTTTCCCGCCGGATTTTCACGATATCAACAGCTAATCTCAACCGTCTGATCAACAGTTATCTCACGGACGACCGTTTGGTGGAGGCGCGCAGTCTCTTTGATCAGAACACTAGATCGCTTGACAACGCGACATGGAACACGATGATCAACGCGTATGTCCGACGCCGCCGAATAAGGGAGGCCCACGAACTGTTCGATCAAATGCCTCAGAGGGACGTCGCGTCGTGGAATGCCTTGTTAATGGGTTTGACTGAGACCAGAGATCCAGAAAGAGTTGTTTGGTTTTTCCTGGAGATGCAGAGATCTGGGTTGAACCCAGATGAGCATACTATTTCGGTACTAGTGAACACGGTTTCGGGTTCTTCGTTTAAGATTTTGATCGAGCAAATACACGCGCTTGCTATTTGTTCAGGGCTTAATCTGAGCGCGTATGCCGGGTCTGCGTTGCTTAAGGGTTACTCCAGTATAAAGAATCCAACAGCTTTACAACGAATATTTGATGACATTTTGCTGAAGGATGTTTCATCATGGAATTCATTGATTATGGGTTACATGAAATTAGGATTTGTGGGTAAGGGTGAAAAAGCTTTCAATCAAATGCCTGATAGAAACATTGTTTCTTTCCACACAATGATTATTGGGTACATAAGAAACACGATGATCGACAAAGCTCGGATATTGTTCGATCAAATGTGTGAAAGGAATGTGTTTTCTTGGACCGTGATGATCAATGGTTATGTACGGAGGAGGAAGTTCATTGTCGCGTTGAAGCTATTCAAATCTATGGTTGAGTCTGGGTATAGACCAAGCCATTATACATTGTCAACTGTTTTAGATGCATGTTCTGGGTGCTCTTTGCTTCCTATGGGCAAGCAGGTGCATTCCATTATCACAAAGTTCGGTATGGAATGTGACATTGTCTTGTCAACGTCACTCTTGGATATGTATGCCAAGTCAGGCGATATTAGTGCTGCTTCATTTGTGTTTAGTTCTATGAAGGTGAAGAATTCAGCTTCATGGAACTCGATGATAGGAGGTTTTGCAAGACATGGGCAAGGAACGAATGCTCTAGAGGAATTCGGGAAGATGCTCGAGAGCGGTTTCAAGCCTGATCAGGTTACTTTTATCAACTTGTTAATGGCTTGTGCACATGCCGGGTTGGTGGAAGAGGGAGAGGAACAGTTTAGCGCGATGAGCAAGTACGGGATAGCTGCAGAGAAGGAGCATTATGCTTGTATGGTAGATCTGTATGGAAGGGCGGGTCAGTTGGATAAAGCAGAGAGATTGATAAAGGGAATGCCATTTGAGCCAGATGTGGTTATCTGGGGAGCATTGCTCGGGGCTTGTGGATTGCATTCGTGTTTGGAGCTTGGAGAGGTTGCTGCTAATGGAGTGTCAAAGCTAAGAAGTGATCATCCAGCAGCATATGAGGTTCTGTTGAGAATTCATGGTGAGAAGGGAGTGTGGACAAGTGTCACTGAGTTGAGGAAACTGATGAAGCAGAAGAATGCGAAAAAGCAGAAAGCTGGAAGCTGGGTTGAATCTCCATTAGATGACAGATGATGGGTTCCTTTCACATTTAGGACCACAGGAGTTAAGCTCTGACCAGTTTTATGAGTTTCTGACAAGATAATGTTTGATGGCGCAAACTTTTTTGGGGATTGCAAAATTTTCTGAGTGAATGAAGTACACAATAAACTAAGAAGCAAGTGTTCGATGTCTCAGGACAAGAGCAGTGTGCTTATACAAAACCGTACATGTAGAATCATTAGTCAGGGGAACAACACTACAATATCCGTTCATGGATGGTCTTTCTTTCTTCTGCTGAGGAAACGGCTGAGAGATTCAAGTCCAGAATTTCTTCATCTTCCAGTCTTGCTTTCTTCCTTCTCCCTTTCTCTCTTCCTATAGAGCTTCTCAAGAACACGTTTTGCCTCGCAGTTCGGGAAATTTGAAAGATCGTAGTAATGAGGTGCAATATCGACCAACCTGTTAAAAACAAGCACGTCAAGGACCGCAATATAGAGGAAAAACAAGACCAGAAAGATGGCTACTGACCATTCACCACGGATATCTGTGACAGTACGGATGAAATTCCGGCTCGTCAAGACATATTCATTGTAAATCACCCACTCTGCCTTATGATCAAGGCAAGTTGATGGATGCAAATGAACCACCTGCGTCAAAAATGCACAAGCAAAGCAACCCCAATAAGGAATCTATCTCCTTTCATCAATCATCAGTTAAAATGCCATTCTATACAGACCTGGTTATCTTTGACGGTCAAGTAATGGCCAGTCCGTTCAAGGTGAGCCACCTGCATGAAATAACCAGCAAGCATGGCCTTTCTTATGTTGATATAGTAATCCCGGCTGTTAAAATCGGAGCTGCACATCTTCAGATTAAATCTAGACATTATTCTGACTAGCTGCTGTCTAACATTGTCAGCAGACTTCATTGCTCTTTGGTTGACAAAGTTTTCGTAACACCAGTTCGGGTCTTCACCTGCAAGAAATAACATTCCCCAGGCTCGTTATGGTCTAATCCATTTCCTTAGAGCAACTGAAATCGAAAAGAGAAAGAAATAGAAAAATATAACTTACTGTTTTGCTTATAAGCATGGTACACGTTTAACAGCGTAAGGTGATCACCGTCAATGTGTCCAAACCTAGCTTTAGCTTCATCTGCAGCTTTCTGAGCCTCTCTAGGCCGGACAAAGCAATTCGGTACTAGAGAGAGAATTGGTTTATCACAGAAGAGGGCCCATGGGAGAGGTCAGCAGATGCATAGAGGCGAGACCATACCATTTAGTTCATGAGAGAATACTGAGAAACTGCAACTATCTGCACCAGCATTTACTTAGATATCCCCAACCATTGATGGGCATGGAGAATTCATACTAGAAAGCTGCTGATTACAACTTAACTAATGGAATCAAGTAAAATGGCATTATGGCAAGCACACAGATCACCCGTACGGAGATGATGGTCATGTAAGAACATGGCAATGGCATGCTTAACTCAGATCTCATGCACAAAGACATAATTCAGAAGAAACATGACAATGCTGGTGAAACAGAGGTTAGAGCTACTACATCTACAATTAACAATGTGCTAGGATATCTTCACATTTCTACTCCAGGTGAATTGACAAGCAAAAAAATAAAAGATAAGCAGCAAAATGTCATTACCTGATAACATAGCAGAAACTGAGAGAATCTCATTAGAGCAGTTGAATTCAGGACTGACTATGAGCATCTTTGCCATTTGCGGATCCAAGGGAAATTCACTCATTATCTCACCTATCTTGGTCAAGTTACCTTCATCATCCAATGCTCCCAAATAATTCAAAACCTCCAAAGCACGCATCAGTGTCTCAGGAGCAGGAGGGTCCATAAAATCAAAATGCACCAAGTCATCTATACCCAGTTTTTTCAAGGTCAGGACTGTGTTGGCAAGGTTCGATCTCAATATCTCAGGATATGTCTGTGCTTGCAGGTCATTATGGAAACTTTTTTCTGTGTAAAGTCTGAAACATTTTCCAGGCCTAGTTCTACCAGCACGACCTGCTCTCTGGTGAGCACTTGCCTTGGATATCGGGGACACCAACAAGGACTCAACACGAATTCGTGGATTGTAGACTTTCTGCTTAGCGAACCCGGGATCAATCACATACACGATACCATCTATGGTTAGAGATGTTTCTGCAATGTTGGTCGAGACAACAATCTTTCTCCCAGGAGGGCCACCTTCAGTTAGTGGTGCTGGAGCAGCGTCAAATATCTTCTGTTGCATTGCAGGAGGAAGTGTAGAGTACAAAGGTACGACTTTGACAGGCCCCACTTGGTCCCCGAGATTATTGACCTCTTTATTAATTTTGCGGCATGCATCTTCTATCTCCTCTTCTCCGGTTAAGAAGACAAGAATATCTCCGAGTGGCTCACACATGTGTATCTGGACAACAGTCCTAATAGCAGCCTCAAGATAGTCCCTTTCAGGATCCTGAGTGTAGAAGATCTCCACAGGATGGAGCCGCCCAGGAACTTTCATAAGAGGTGCTCCACTAAAATAGTCCTGAAACTTTTCGGCTTCGAGGGTTGCACTCATAACAACTAACTTAAGGTCGGGTCTGTTTTTCAGGACTTCTTTCAGAAGACCAAACAGCACATCAGTAGCCAGAGTTCTTTCATGAGCTTCATCAAGAATAATTACCTTGTACCTCTCGAGAAGCGGGTCTGCCATGGCTTCTCTGAGAAGCATACCATCTGTCAAATACCTGCCATGGCAGAGCAAACACAGGATGAGCCCGAGTCCTCCACCAGAGTAACATTACACATAAAACTTTCAAACAAAGAAGCTTAGGAAGACAATGCTCACTTCAACAAAGTCCGGGAGCTACTGCAGTCCTCGAAACGAATGCTGTAACCTACTTCTTCACCGATACTTACATCCATCTCCTCAGCAACACGCCTTGACACAGACATTGCAGCCACTCTGCGAGGTTGTGTGCAGCCGACCATCCATTTCCTACGCTTATCCGAGTTTTCAGCTTCCACAGCATCTAAAACAAACTGAGGGATCTGCAGAAGAGATGGATTTTGATCTATGAGCTTCTGATGTTCGATAACAGGGAGGGAATACGTACCCCGGATGAACTCGAGGCTATCTACAACGAAATTTTGACCAAGTGTCAAACCCATCCAATTACACGTATTTCCGAGAGTGAGAGAACTGAAACATCACCTGTGTAGTTTTACCGCTACCAGTCTCACCGACCAGTATCAGCGTCTGATTGGCATTCAATGTCCGAAAAAACTCCTCTTTCTGCTGCCAAACAGGCAGAGTCCTCCTCTTCTCCAGTATATCGAAGTACCTCTGCGTATAAGGCTTCCCTGTCCATTTGTTGATCAGGCCGTCTCCGATGTTCGCCGCCGCAGCTCCAAAACCGTTGGGTTTGGCCATCTTCGCCGATAGAGAGGGATCGTCCATCACATCGAATAGACTCACCTTCCTCTTCCTCTCCGTACCCATCCACCGGTCGTGACGAAGGACGTACCTAAAACGGGAGGGAAGAAACCCTAGGGCAAATGCAGAAGCCGCGACAATGGAGGCTAGGGTTGGGGCACGCTGGTTTGGAGGAAGGAGGCGACGAAATTTTCTTAAATTGCTAATTAACCCCTGATTTTACTGATATTGTCAGTTTTGGCCTCAAAGAAGTTTGAAGAAAACTTGTGAGGACATCTCGCTCGGCCCAATAAGAGTGAGAATAAATCGGCCCAATAATCTGGGAAAGAATCGGTCCAAATGGCCCAAGCAACATTTTTTTCTTACACGCAAAAGATGGTCAATTTTATATAATAATGTGTAAATAAAACATCGGATACCACAATTTGATTGGAGAAGGGATGACAACAACCATGAAAACAAAATTAAGAGGTTAAATAACATCATCAAAGATAAAACTTAATTCATTAACTCAATCAGTCACCAGATTCCGGAATCAAGTGACCTAAACGAAAGCATCAAACAAAAGGCTTCCAATTCTGAAAGCAGAGTAGGCATTAGCGGCAGCAAGCTTGATCTGCTTCTGGTTAAGCGTATCCTTGAGGTCTACGTGCATGCCTGCATGCACACGTATATAAAGAGCTCGATTTGCTCTCGGGACATGCAAAAGTCGCACTTGGGGATGAGAGAGGAAAACGAAGAGTCCATTAGAATAATAGTAAAGAGGCTATACATGCATGGATGCATGTGATGTGATGACCAATGGGGCATGAAACAATGAATGCCCAACATATCTTATGGGGAAATAAGAGACGGACAACCCATACACTATGGTACAATGTATCTCATCAAAGTCTCTTAGGCTGCGGACAGTACAAATATGATACGACAACAATAGAGGAACAGAGCTGCCAGTTATGACTAGAACGAAAACATTATCCGACAACGCAAGATATCAGTTTTGAAGTATCAGAGTAGGGAACAAACCTTAGTTGCATACAGCGTGCAACCATCAAATTACTTACCAAAAGGCCCTGGACATTGAGAAATTGCATCACATCCGGCACGCCCTGAAATTTCCGGAAGCTTTTAGACCTAAAGCACAAAACAGAACAGCATAAAACCTTCAAGAATCCTCAACTACACATCTCTCTCTATCACCCCCTACTGAACCAGTAACCCAACAACCGAGAAGCTTCCATTAACCAGAGCAGCAGATTACTTTTAACGTTTTTTTGTCTTTCTTCAGACTGGGAGGGAGAAACAACTTACCAAACGGGACTTGAGTACATGGATGGATCTAATAAGGATTATAATGTTTCCCACGTTGGAAACCACCATAATTGTCATAATGCCTTGCAGGATAGTTCTCCACATGGTTTGGATATCTGCCTTTCGAATCCGTGGCCACATTGGATCCACCATGCGAAGGATTGGTAGAGTAACCCTCGAACTCGGTATAAGGAAACTGTCTACAACTACCGTAACTCAAGGCTGACATTTGCTGCCGTGCTTGCTGCTGACGCCTCTGAGCGTCAAGTTGAAGAAACTCTTCCCACTGTTTAGCATTCATATCCCTTACAGCCGCCAGTTTCTTCATGTAATTATCTCTCATTTCCCGGATCGTCTAAAACTCGCATAAATGGATGTCAGAAGTTGAAATTCCACGAAGCAAATACTGCAACTATCCTAAGCAACAAATTCATGTTCTTAAAGAAGCAGCTCCCATCTTTGTTGTTAATACTAGTGATTTTTCCATGTCTCCCCATACAGTGACCATCAAATAAACTTCTAAACTGAGAATAAAACAGCTCTGGTAATAACTTGTATGATGGATTAGCTGTCGTCCAGTAATGTGTGCCACTAGCATGTTTCATTCTGAATATGAACACCTTTCTTGATCAAGTTCTTATAAAAATCATAGATGCTATCAGACCTAAACTCAATTTTTTTTTATCTAACAGGAATTCATCAGTCACGGGATCCCTTACCTCACAATGCTTGCTATTCTCCTCCTCTTCTTCCTTATCACGAATCCCTTCCAGCTCCATTGCCTCCCTCTTATATTCCAACTCTAGCTCTTCAAATGTCCATGGGAAAGAGGGGCGTTCAAGCTGATGGCTTAACTGAACATCAGAGCCCCGCCTCTCATGATCCCATCTGTCAGTTTTATAACTATTCACATCCGGTTTTTGCCTACCATATGGCTTATCCCATCCACTATAACGAGGCCGACCAGGAGATTTAGAATGGTTCGAGCGACTTCGTGCTCTGTCACTACCATAAGCTTCATGAAATGTATAATATGTTAACTGCTTGATCAACACATTGGCCAAAGGTACAGCTACATTAAGACATGTAATCTCATCTTCGATCAAAAAAGCCAACCACTGGATTTCGAGCAAACCATCAGCAAATATGATAATTTTGCTGAATATCGTAGCCAGCTAGAACCCTGACAAAACTAACTTTACTACCTACATAACGCTTGAACATAAGCACTTACTTCTAGCTGCAAAAGAAAGTTAAGGAACAGAAATATTATTGAGCAGAAATGAAGCAAGAACTGATCAATGTTCCCCAAAGACAGACTACAAGAGACAATTACCAGTTCTCTATCCATTCTGTAAATGTATCCTATCCTGTCCCTACCTTGTGGAGATCCCCGGGGAAAACTCCGCTGATCCTCACGAACATGATTCTCCAAAAACATATCTTGCCTTCCAGGGCGCTCTGGAAAGCTTGATGAACCATGTGATCCCAGTTTTGGTCTCTGAGGTTCTGAAATTCGAGCTTGTGGACCAACATGACTCCGCCTAGGTGACCTGGATCTGCTCTTGTGAGAACCAGAAGAACCCCTATTCTCGCCTTCCTCCTTAACCTTGTGAACAACATCTACACCTTTCCTCAAGATTAATCTATCCTTGCCACTGACTATCAGAAACTTTTCATCCATTTTTATCTTGCACCCGGTGTCCCTTTCAATCCTTTCTATGACTTTCTCGGTGAACAGCGTCCGTACCTGTTTGTCCCTAGCTGGTACCCTCTCAAAGAAATCTTGGGATTTCCGGTTTGCACCAAGAGTTGATGGGCAACCCTATATACGGCAAATGATGCAAAGTGAATAAAACAGTCAGGACCCACTTATAAGAATACATTACTCGAAAAGGTATCCAAGTCTATGACTCTAAGTACAAAAAGATCCAAAAAATGCAGAATACCTGAGTAAAATGACCTGATTCTCCACATATTTTACAGATCATTTCTTCTTCTTTCCTCTTCTTCCAATTCCTCTCAGTAGCTTTTGATTTAGCCTCCCAAACTTTCGCTTCTCGGCTAGTGAAATCAGTTGGCACAGCATTGGGATCAGGCAGTTGCTCCTCCTCATCAGAACCACCAAGAGACGGTTTGCTGGATTTTTCCTTGTGTTGAGCATTGTTGGTTGGATTACAGGGAGGGCCTGTATACTCCTTGTAGATTTCACTAAAGTCATCGTCGAGATCTGGGTCTGATCGAGTGCTTCCCATCTGAAACAAAACACACACCACAACTTCAAACCCCTGGAAAGACTGGAAAAGGAATTTCAGAAATCGATCAAAAGTAGTTTCATTCAAAGAGCAGCAGAAGTTCTGCCCAAATAATCAGTGAAGTGAACGCGCAAGGATAATCGGCACCCAAATCCCAACACGTTACAGCAATTGTACAGAAGATTTAACGAGTTTCTGAAGTTAGATGAAAACGCGCATTTCCCAGGGAAACACGATCAATATATGACATGAAAATACCAACTCAATCGAAAAGTTTCAAAACAACGTTGAAATTTCTCTCTTTTCCAGGAAAAAGACGAACAATTTCCCGCACGGAGTAAATTGAAGGAGGACATCACCAACCTCGCAGATTGTCGAGATTTAACAGCTAAATGCAAAGAATTCGACGCAGCAAAACAACAATCTAATCAACGCGAATAATAAGAACAATCGGGAAACAAAGATACCTGGAATTAGAAATTATCCGACGGGCTAAGCGACAGCGCCGGGAAGAGAGAGACGGACACTGAGACGAGAAAATCCGGCTAGGGTTGGGTTCTCGAGAAATCCGACAACTTCCCAAATCCAAAATTTTAATTTCTCTCGTTTGGAACCCATGAATTTTTTGTAATTACAAATATAACCCCAACTAAACGATGTCGTTTTTACTGAACAAGATCAAGCTGATGATTCATGTGTTTGACCAGAAACCTTGGTCTTCAGGCGTTTCACTGTACTTGTGTCCCTTGAAACCAGTTTCCAACTCTGGGTTCTCCATTTAGTGTCAGTGTATCTACAGGCTAGACAAGCTCTCTACAGCTCTGGTTCTAATAAGCTCATCTCTGGTAGGTTAACTTAGTTAACCACCAAAGACAGAAAGATATTATTACCTTCATGAGACAGTTTTGCTTCCATGTTCTGTATGTAGCTTCTTCTTTTTTTTTCTTTTTTTGTCTCTCTCCCACGTACACACACCCATGCATGCATGCAAACGCCCCGAAAAAAAAGTTGATTTGCATGATAACTTATTTCTACCCTTTTTAACTTTTTTGTCGAGGACAATGCATTTTCCATTCTACATCTCTCTCTCTCTCTCTCTCTCTCCCTGAGGGTTTGCCATGATGTGTAAACCCTATACTGGTAGGAAAGTGAAAACAATTTCCAAATATTTTTGGTTCAATTGATATGGCATATATATATTGGCCATTGATTCAGAGCTCTTTTTAGTTCACTAGATCGGATACAAAGATCATCCTTCAGAAAAATCTTTGAAAATGAACAGCAGCGTCAGTGTGTCACACGTTTATCCGACGATGGACCCATGTTACAGTATCTTAAATTCATCCGTTCCCTGTCATTGCTGCTTGTGCGGGGAAGAAAATTAAATCTAACTCATGATTTTGTTCTGTACGTACTTTTTTGGAACGGGGTACTAGTAGATTCTTATACCACATAATCATTCTCATGAAGGGTAATATTTGATTCGGCTTAACCTCTAACATCTTCGTTTTTCACATTCCTTTTTCTTTTTTTAATTTCATTTTTTATTATAGAGACCAAAAGCGAAATAGAAAAAAGAAATAGCAAAAGACCGCTCACGGAGCACAAGTCTTTCCTTCCCCCCAAGAGGTAAACAAAAATAGCGCATTTAGGTCGACAAGAGTAGGTAGAAGTAGTTGGGGATATGCTTTCCATCTCACTATCCCCTATGAACATAAATGTTTCAATTACATTAAATTTCCATTCAACGATTTCATTATATCTCTTCTCAAGCCCTTTAAGCCAAACTTAACTTCCATGGATTCCCAGACAAAACCTGCACCAAACACAGAAAGAGGGGGTCCTAAGATCGTTAATAGCTTCGTCTCTGTGGAGAAACCGAAACCCTAGCAAGCACTGCGGAGAATCTTGCTTCGTTGTTGTACGTACTTTCTCAATGACACGATATTCCACTGACAAACAAAACTACTGATAATGGAGACAGCGATCCCTTCCTCGGCTATGCATGATCCATGCCGACGTGAAATTTCCGCAGCTCTTCCAAAGAGCTTTTACTCGTCTTTTAGAGGAGAAGGATAATACAAGATCAAGATCTGTCTCGAGTACAAACTAGAATTAAAGCAGTTTCTTAGTTCTGCAAGATGCGTGGAAATCCTGGGGACCTGTCAGCTTGACATTACCTACCATTACAACATCTACTTTTACATCTACATAAAAAGGAGACAACCTTCCTGAAAAGGAAAGATCGGTTCCTGTGGCAATTGCAAATGACCTAATAGCCACTTCAAAATCACGATGTTACATATACATACATATATATATATATATATACTATACTACTCATCCTTCAACATATGGGACGGGACAACATCTTGAAGAAGGCCATGGTCCTTCATCATTAAACCTGCAGCGCCATTAGGGTTATAACAAACCTGATTCTTCCTCACATTATGATAGCCACTGAGGTATTCAACGCCAAAAGTAGACAGTTGTTGTTGTTGGTAATGAACCAGCTGTTGAAATTGAGGTGAAAGCGTGGTGCTTTCTAGAGGAAGGCCGAAGCTCCCACCCGCCATGGCGGAAGCGGCCGAGCCGAAGAAGCCTCCGGCTGCACCGCCGCAGAAAGCAGGACGAGCCATGAGGGGACTAGGGTGCGTGTGTTGACCTTCGTACGTCGTCACCACGATGCTCGGGTCCGTGAATGATCTCTCCACTCTCTTCTTCACGTTACAAGACGCTGTGGTGCAACGATAGTAACTCCTGAAAAAAACCAGTCTCAACGTTTTAAGAGCGCATAATGCAGATCTAAACACGTCAGAGCAAAGAAAATTTCTGCATTTTAATGTCGAGAAAAGGCTGTTTCTTGAACTGGGGATCTTCTCAAACGATTGTCCGAGAACTAATGGAAAACGAATTAAGATAATAAAAGTGGAAGTCATCATGTTCTTTTCTTTTCTTCATGGTTGTGTGAGGGCGGAGGAAATGGGTGAGTTACCGAGGGAAAGGACTGTTCTTGACAGCTTTTTGGCCGTATTTTCTCCATCTGTAACCATCTTCGAGATGATCGACCTCGCTCTTTGTCATGAACGCCACTCTCGGCTCTCTCTGTTTCTTCTGATTGGGCTTCTTGGGTTTCAACCTGCTTCCATGAAACCGACATCAGAAGCACTAATGGTATTCAGCTTCAAAAATGGTTCCATTTTTATTTTCTCTGACTAGAATCAAGAGAGTTTTTTTAGTAGTTTTGTCCAAAGGGTTTCGCTAAAAAAAACGAAACTGTACAGGAAAATCTGTGAAAACAAGAATCAGAAACCGAGACTCACTGCTTCTTGGTAGAACCCTTCTGCATCTGCTCTTCTCCATCTTCTTCGTCGTCCTCCCCCTTCACTTGTTCCTCATTAACAGCCTCGCTCGACGCCGACGAGATCGACGCCGAGTTAGGAGTCGCCGGCGGATTCACAACCGCATCCGAACATGATGACTCTACCTTCGAGGCCGCTTGCTCCGCCGCTCGTGACGGCAGTACGGGCGCAGAAGAATACACTTCGGCCGCGGCCTGAAGCGACGTCGTATCGAACAGAGAAGAAGGGTTGAAATCCTGATGCAGACCCAACAACTCCATGAACCCTAGAGAATTCCTCTCCGCTAAATCGCCGAAATCCCACACGCTCTGCGACGGGTACAAGCTCTTCTGCGCAAAATCAGCGAACGACGACGTTCCGACACCGATATTCTCCATTTTCTTCTCTCTTCCCAATAAATATATCAGACCCAAATGAGAAAACGCATCAAAACAGAGATCGGAAGGCACCGATCAGAAGAATATCACAGAGAAAATCTTCGAGTACTCGGAGAACGAGTAAGAAAACAAATGAAGAGAGAGAGAGAGGGAAATTTGGCTAGAGAAGAGAGGGGTAATAAGACGATTCTCTCGGGAGGAAAAAAATGGCAGGGAAGGAGATAACCGGCAATTGTAGGTTGACACAAGTGTACGGATGCACACAGTGCCGGTAACCGACCAAGTTCGATGCATCAAAATTTAAACGGTGGTCAGCGCGTAGTCCGACAAGACGCTTTCATACGTGGATTTTCTTTTACCGGTTCAGCGCTTAACCGGCTTCTCTCCACGTGTGAACGGGGTTTCTCTACCTGTGTCAACTATTATGGCCAATGACGGTGTCTGGTTCGTTTGCATGGGAATATTCCCAAATATATTTTTCAGAAAATATTTCTTTTGATGACATTGATGATATTAACTATACATAATCGTGTTATATAGGAAGACACCGATCAGAAGAATATCACAGAGAAAATCTTCGAGTACTCGGAGAACGAGTAAGAAAACAAATGAAGAGAGAGAGAGAGGGAAATTTGGCTAGAGAAGAGAGGGGTAATAAGACGATTCTCTCGGGAGGAAAAAAATGGCAGGGAAGGAGATAACCGGCAATTGTAGGTTGACACAAGTGTACGGATGCACACAGTGCCGGTAACCGACCAAGTTCGATGCATCAAAATTTAAACGGTGGTCAGCGCGTAGTCCGACAAGACGCTTTCATACGTGGATTTTCTTTTACCGGTTCAGCGCTTAACCGGCTTCTCTCCACGTGTGAACGGGGTTTCTCTACCTGTGTCAACTATTATGGCCAATGACGGTGTCTGGTTCGTTTGCATGGGAATATTCCCAAATATATTTTTCAGAAAATATTTCTTTTGATGACATTGATGATATTAACTATACATAATCGTGTTATATAATGTATCTAAAAAATTAATTATAATACGTGTAAATAATATATTTGTTCAAATTCGATATCAAATTAAACTTTTTGTGGTATGAATAAATATAATTTATATTAAACAATAATGTGGCATATGGATATGACATATAACATGCATCTATAGATGCAGAGTAGTAAAAAAAAATGGATCAGATCAATTAGTGTCTTACGGAAATATTAAAAAGCAAAATTTAAATTATAAAAGCTTGTGGGGCCAAAGCAAATCCCAAGTGGAATAAAGTTTAAGGGCCCAGATTTATATAACTCCTGCATGCTTCATGAATTTTCTCTTTTATGGACAGCGTCGATCCCGATGTGGAAAAGGAAAAAAAAGAAAAAAGAAGATTTGAATTTTATCTTCTTTTTATTTCTTTTTTTTATTTTGTTAATTTTATTATTTAATTATATTATATTTAATGGGGAAGGACGTGAAAAAGTTTCATCCACGTGTGGCGTAGTACCATGAGGAAAGCCCAGAGGCCCACACGCCCGTATAGTTTGCTTGTAAACTTGGCTCTCCTCTTGCATGCTTCCATGATTTTGTTCTTCCTCTCCTTTTTTTTTTGGGTAAAAACGGTTCATATAATATAATATAATATATATATATATAATATTAAATGATATGTATATTCTGCGAATAATCATATATACGCACCTAGTCCACACTTAACAAATGTAAAAAAAAAAAAGGAAAATTAATCCATTTTGAGGTATTATATATTAATATAATTCATAGCATTATCTAACCTACACTCTCGACTCTCGTAATGGTATTTTATATAATATTATTCGGTGATCAAACCTAATAAATATAAATATAATTACCACTCACAAATAAATCCCCGTAATAATAAGATCTGCCCGTCGATTTTTATAGAAAAAAAATAATATGGTATATATATATTACCTACTCTACTACGTACGTACTATTGTGTGTTATTGATTAGGATGTATATCGAACTGTGTATGCATTATGCAGCGACTGGGACGTACCTGTCCATTGCATTGACCAACATCACAAATCATCGCATTTTAATAATTTTGTTTTGGACCTGCACGGGGTTCAATAATTATGGTATTAATCAGATTTAATTAGCAGTCAACAGCGGCATTTACTCGTGTACGATCTATTTTTTCCTCCACATTGTTTACAAATTATAACAAGGAAAAAATTTCACGTGTTTATCAAACTGTACCTTTTTTATTCAATGGCTCCAATGGAACGTAATATTATAGGTTATTTTTACATTTATTAAATATGAATCCATAATAATTTTGTATATACACATATTTTTCAATTTTATGTGTCAACTTGATTTTGAGAATTACCTAGAACAACAGTTCCAAATACGCGTATAATCCCAAGAACGATTGTATAAATGGATTCCAAGTGGTGTATAAGACTATATATTGTTGTATAAAATACCTTCGAATAAGAATCCAAAATGGTGCATGAATTACAAAATATTTAACAATTTTTTTTTTTGTGTAGTATTAATAAGGAAATCAAATTAATATATCAATATATGCAGAGTTGAAACTATCAGAGAAATCTGATAACAAAAAATCTGTACAATTTCTGTTCCCCCAAAATCGTCAGATTTTCACCACCAAATATAAAATTACAGTTCTTTAACTTTTACTAAATATAAATAAATATGTATACAACTGTAAGCGTAAATAGTAAGAAAAACGTATATATTATGAAAGGGGTCCAAATCAAAGGTCGGCCAAATCGCGCGGCTCCGTGTCCGCATCCGAGTGCGGACATGAAAGGCTGAAAGCGGGCTCCGACCCATTATGGCACGACACGTGTCCTGCCCTGTCGAGTCGTGGGTCCCTGATCCAACGGGCCACTTTGCACGTTCGTCTCCTCCCGCAGCGATCCACGTTCCTCCACGCCGTTGTTTGAGATTCCAATTTAATACTTCGGTTCGTGCCTTTTATGAAATGGTAAAATGTGTTTTTGTGTTCTGAAAAATATTTCGTGAGATTGAAATAAAATGCTTCAATGATTTATAATTATTAGACAACTATATATATATATATATATATATGAAATGATAATATTTCCATCTCTGTTACTTATATATAATTTTATTTCACTTGTGATCATTTCAGTGTTATTTAAATATCTGAATGTGTTTTCGTGTATATATTTATGTATGTATTAGCCCTTATTCAATTTCAATTTGTGAGTGGGAATTTTATATTTATCGGCTGGAAGAAAAAGTTGGAGTTGATTACGTCGGTGCCATGCAAGTATTACGTAGCTAAATTGCAGTTCACGTAGACCAAAGACCACAAGATTGTCACCCTTAACCACACATTCAATTAAATATTATATATAATCAATTTGCACCAATCATCATCATCACTATATATTATTAATTGTGATAATTTCTGAAATTATTAAAAAAATATATATATCCTATTTTAATTCCTCTAAAAAATATGCGAGACTTCGTCGTCACCGTATAAAGATTATATCAAACAATTCTTGTATATCAACGTACGTATAGTTCATATTGGGAATGAATATTAAGATACCATATATATATATATATATATGTATATTTCTGACATATTGGATTAACAAAAGCTATTCCCATTTGCTAGCGACAGAAAAAGCCAAAGAGGAAAAGACAAAAGAAGAGAAGAAAAGTAAAGCGATTAAAACGCGGTTTCCGAATATTATGGCCCCTTGGAAAAGATACGATCGCTCTCATTAAGATCTTTATGCTTCTAATTATTTTTCCAACAATGTTTAAATTTCTGGATTTTCCTTTTTGATAATAAAATATTTAATTACGCCTAATTTTATTTATGTACGTTTATATGCATATATATATATATATATATATATGTATACACGCTCACAGTTGCATATTCCATTTTATCCTTTTGAAATGGTTTGCTCCTTCGTGTGTAAGTGCATCTGTATACTTTTCTTACTCTGCTTAGTGGTTATATTATATATATGTATATGTGTGTGTGTATATATACGTATCGAATTTTATAGTATAAACTGGCAACGAAAGGATATGTAATAATCTAAATCTATAACAACAATAACATTAAAATCGCAAATTTTAATGTAAAAGTAAAAGGGTCGATCCGTATCACCGATTCAAAAAAATATAGATTGTTTGACTACTAGGTTTGCTTCTTGGATACGTTTAGGAACTCAAGAAAAAAAGTAACGGGATATCAAATAAAAAAATAAAAACAAAAGATAATTATACTTGAAACAATTATAAAGAAATCGTTAGAATATCAATTTAAATTTTTTGTATCCTTCTCTAAAGTTTCCTGTGGACCGGTTTGCTAATAGTTTTATTCTGGAACTCGAGCCCTATAAATCGATTCCGGTCACGAGTGACCAACTGTTCCACGTAATGCTCGATCCGACAATACAAAAGGTATATAATATACGTATACATATAGATCAAAATATTTTAAAATATGTTAATATATATGTATTTTATCGTTAGCAATTGAGCGGTAGTCCCGCTGTCCTAGTCAAATCTCGAATAAGCCTCTCGTGACGTTAATCCCAAATAGACGGACTCATTGTATTATATTATATAGGCTTGTATATGCAAGCACGTATTTGTCATGTGAATAAAGTCATTCTACGACCATAAAAGTATACAAAGTATATGTAGATATCATACGACGTACCGCCATTAATAATAACTTAATAAACTACATTACATGCAGCCGAACAACTGCGTATATAAAAGATTATTCGAATATAAATTTATTTTGGTTTCATTGAAATACATCATAATGCTTCTGGCTTTGAAATATATAATTTGCCTTTCTATTTATATTGTTTTTGTTTTTGTTTTTTGCAATCGAAGAAATCAAATAGACATGCATGCACCACGCGGGTATAAGATTCATCCTTTCCGTGCACGGGTGTCCAAATCATAAATACATTTTCTATAAATGTTGCACACTTATGTGATAGATTTTGATAAATGTATTAACTTGTATATATTTCCATGATGATAGTTTCGATTCATAATTTGAAACTAAAATTGATTTATTATAACCACTAGATAACAAAAGTTTTGTTCTCTCTCTCTCCCCCGTAAAATATTATATATATGTAATGGATTGTTTATTTATTTTTATGATATGGTTGGATGCCAAGAATTGTTCTTTGGATAAGGCAAATCTTGCCAATGCATGAATTAAGGGATACTTCACGTTGTTTCTTTTGGATGCTTGTGACTCGCGAGTTAACGGGTAGCTAGATATAAAATCCCTATTTGAATTTTGTTACAAGGTTTCACATTATAATTTTAACCAATGGACTGTTTTTTAATGTTAATCTCGTGTCAGAAATATCGACCCACTTAAGAGTTCTAGAATATGAAATAAAGTTGGTGACGAGATAAAAACAAACGCACATGGGTAGTGTCAAAGTAAACGCACTTGTGTAATTATTTCATTTGTTAATATCAAACATTACGCAGATTCATATAAATTCTGTCGGAAGGTCGACAGTCATTAACTCGTAGATTTGTTGTTGTTGTTAATTCTCTTCATCAAGGTGATATTTATATATTTTAATTTCTCATTTATCTGTAGAATATTTGCATGATTACATCCCTAGGATTGGAAGTGAAGTTATTGACAACATTAAACATGCAACAGCCTTTGATCTCCTACTAATTTTACATAATTTTTATTTTCGTTATACAATTAATTTTCCCTTAGTTTCAATTTTAATTTTATTTTATTTGCTTCTCTATGAAATGGTGTGGCTAATCAATATTCTAATCACCCCTAAAATTTAGGCCCATCATATCATATCAAATTTGCTAATTTTTCGGGAGAGAGAATAGCCTACAAGACTTTACCAAACACAATTAATTCAGCCTAATTAATTTTATATCCCCCTCTCTAATCATTACTAATTACTGTGGAACAACTTTATATATATATATATATATATAATGAGTGAAAATCAGAATATCCAGGCTATTTATTCGTCAATAAATGCAACTACATACTATTATCATCACGGCTCAAAAATGAAATAAATTTTTTTAAAAAAAAGGCACGTATGAGGAGCATTTTCCGCATGACAAATGCAAATCTCTTTCCTCGAAATATAGTTTTTTGTTTGATGTTTAATTTTCACGAAGAAAGGTGGGACAAGACGTTTCCTGATAAAAGCACACTCGTGTCTTGGTGCATCCTTTCCACCTTTCCGCAC